AGTGGTGATCATTTGCAGCCACTAAAAATTTGGTCTTACTCAGTATGTGAGTTTAGGGTTGGCATCACCCTTGGGCTTTGCAGGAAAGGTTTTAGAGGTACTTACTTAGTAATTTCTAATTAAAATATTTTCCAATCAAAAATGCTATTTTTCTTCATCTCAAGATGGTTTGAAATGTTGTCACTGCATACGTAAGGTAGATTTCACTTATCTGCTTTATAAATAGTACCATACACTAGTGACAATAATATTGGTAATGCTGATACGACCTCAGTAGTTACGTCTTGGCAGTAGGGTGTTTTATCTCTCATGCATTTCACAGTTACAGAAGAAATGCGGAATTAATATATCGGTGTATCAAAAAGCAGGAAAGGAGCTGACACTTCAGTCAGTGGATTCAAGGTGTATTTTAAGAGGAACCAAACTTTACATTAATCACCTCTGCAGTATCTATTTCCTCTCATACACCACACCAAAAACATGAAAACCCAGTTTAGTGAACATTTGCTCTGGCAGAAGGGTTTGTGTGGTTACTTTGAGGAATAGAAACACAGCATAAATTGAAAGACTTCATGTGGTATGGGATGCCGAAATTAAGACTTGTTTTTTATTTTATTTACTTAATAAATATGTTTTAGCTGAAATAAAAGAGCAACAAAGGTAGAACAGATAATTTTCTCTGTATTAAAATTCTTAGCAATAATGCAACCTTAATTAAAATCTGCCAGTATTGCCATTATAAAGTGCTCATGTGTTTATAACGTAGCAACATAACTTTGTTTTGGGATAAAACCAACCACGCAAGTCTGGTGAATTTCTGTCATCTTTTCCAAAATCCTCCTCCATCCTTTGCCAACCTTAATAAACAAAATCTGAGCCATTTTTCCAAAGATGCAAATCCTAAACACTAGCAATGTGAAGGTATCTGCATTTCCAGTGCTTGGAATTTTCAAAGTCAGATGTGTCTTCATGAAGCTAAATATGCACAGTTATTTGATTACTGCTGAAAAATATGATTATTTGTAACCTAAAAGTAATTTGCATTGAAACAGTAGTTGATCTCAAACCAATGAGACTCTGCAGTGTGTGAGCATGCCCTCTTTGCCCTCCAGCAGCACAGAAGACCTGAGCCCAACCACATGCAATTTGGACCCAGTGCTAGCCACATGGGGGGAAAAAACACACACAAAAAGGAGACTTTGCAGCTAATGTTGGTGCCAAACTGGGAATTCTGAGTTCCTGGGGCAGCTGGGTCATTAGAAAGTACCATTTTACTTGCTCCAGGAGCACCCACTTCAGAGGGACATTGCAAAACGAAAGCCTGAGTCCAGCACAGCAAATGTCATCATTGGCCAGCAGTGAGGAAAAGGCAGATCTCCAGCTTGAAATACCATCTCAGGAGGAAGAACATGTTCCGCTCCTTAGTCGACTATCTAGTCAAGTTTAAGTCCCTGGGCAGCGCTGAGGTTTAGGATGATGCCAGAGTTAGGCTGCTTTGATACCTGTAGTTCTGTGGGAGTTGTAGTAATTAAGGTACTTATAAGGTTTAATTTCAAAGTATCCTTTTCATGACCTGCAGATGTTTCTGTGCAGCGCAGAATTTTGCAGGTACTTCCAGATGAATCACAAATCTATATTTAAGCACCCCTTTATTGAATACTCAGAGCATCATTGAGAAAATAAAAGAAAGTATTTCTCAGTGTCTCAAGTATAGATCAGTATGTTTCTCTCAGCTTAATAAAGGACAGTTGTTTTAACCAGTAAAATTAAGTGGTGAGAAGGTTATCATCACTGAGCATGTGACACTGCTGCAGAAAGAGAAAGCATCACGGTAAGATGACTAACCAGGCTGTTGTATGTGAGTCTCATGAAACACAAATCAGCGCAGGCAGTGTTAGGAGGATTTAGGCCTCGTTCATCTGCCTTGGCAGATTAACCATGTGGATGACCTGTCAAATTCTGTCAAGACTTATTTTCTATGATTTTATAGCAGCAGAGATGGGCACTGTGCTCTGCTGGAGCAGGGAGGCACTTAACTCTCATTATATGCCATTTGAAGTTTTCTTCATAATCCGATTTCAGGATCTCACAAGCCTGTCTGTAAAAGAAAAAAACTACAAGTGTCTTCAGTCAATTTTTAAAGGACATCAGATGTCTACACTGATTTCAGGAACCTGGGTCCTTTTCTCTCACTGTGAGCAAATGCAACTTCGAGAAGTGATCACAGGAGGTTACTTTATGAAATGTCTGATGTGCAGCGGTGTGACTAGATGCAACCCCTCCATTCCCACATGCTGTAGATGTTAGTTTGCATATATATGGTCAAGGGTATACAGGTCCTTCCTTCATCTGCCCTGCATTTCTCTCCACCTCAGTATCACCACCACAAGAAGTGTTTACTACCCAGTCTGTGCATCTTACACGTTTCCAGGAGGAACGTTTCTCCTTTACAGTTTGCACCTTATGTTGACTTGTTGTAGATCCAGGATGTACTTGCCGCAAGTCAGACTGGAAAGTGTGCATTTTATTCCAAACCAGTTCATAGAATTCAGGTGCTTGGCCCAGATTGTTGTTTTTGGGTTTTTTTTAAAAAAGAAAAACAACACTGAAATTATGAAAATGGTAGGTGCACATTTAAAACTAAAGTAAGGACAAAAGTCTGAGCACACAGATGAAATATCTTTAGAAGCAGAGTAACATTACCTTTCTCTTTTTGACAGAATGTAATCCTGGCATCTAAAAAACCCCAACATCTAAAAGCTCTTGGGAAGTTGAATGTTAGATAAAAGGCACAAAAAAAAGAAAACATCTGGAAATTCTAGGCAGCATACATACATATACATATATGTTATATAT